AGAGGGAGGGAGAGAGAAAAATAGAGGGACATAGGGGCAAGAAGACAGAGAAATAGAGGGGAGGGAGGGAGGGAGGGAGGGAGTGAGAGGGAGAGTGACAGAGACAGCGAGAGGATAATAGAGAGAGAGGGGGTGGAAGAATAAGAGAATAAGAGAGTGGGAGGTAAAGAGAATGAGAAAGACAGAAAGATGGAGATGGAGGAACAAGAGAGAGAGGGAGGGAGAAAGAGAAGACAGTGCGGCTGTGGGGTGTGTGCGGGGCGGATGTGGGGTGTGTGCGGGGCGGATGTGGGGTGTGTTTGGGGCGGATGTGGGGTGTGTTTGGGGCGGCTGTGGGGTGTGTGCGGGGCGGCTGTGGGGTGTGTGCGGGGCGGCTGTGGGGTGTGTGTGGGGCGGCTGTGGGGTGTGTGTGGGGCGGTTTAGTTGGTTTGATTTACAAAACTTAGAAAATACCATAAAGTTGGCCAGTTAACAAGTAAACAGTCACATTGTTTTTGTTTGCCCTCATTCAAAGAGAGAGAGAGACAGCACACCTGAAAACTACTGCACTTCACCTGATCTTCTGTTAACTTATCAACATAATTATAGCCTACACTGCGGTTCATAGCCTACACTGGAGTTTATAGCCTACACTGCGGTTCATAGCCTACACTGCGGTTCATAGCCTACACTGCGGTTCATAGCCTACACTGCGGTTTCTGCTCCAACTATATAATATGCAGGTACCCTCCACTTTCTCTTTTATATTTTCCATGTCTGTGATATGTAGCCTAGATATTTAGACTATAGTAAAAGGTGTCAGTTATGTATTTTTGTTGGCATGATATCAGTATGACTATCAGCAGGCCTTTAAACTGTCTATTTTGGCTGAGATCCTCTTACCGCGCTCGTGAAAAATAGGTGCCACTCCGACTCTCTAGCCGAGCTGCCGCTGCTACGAGGTGTGAACCACGCGTCTCACGCAGGCAGACTCATCAACATGGCTGTGTCCTGGGCTTTAGATGCCTGCAGGATGTCCCTAGACCAGTGTCTCCCAATCCGGTCCTACCAAGAGCTGGGAGGGAGCAAAAACCTGGGCCGGTCTGCATAAAACTTCTCAGAGTAAAATTTCGCTCATAAATGCGTCACAATTCTAAGAGTGACGTGATTTTGCTCCTACTCCCAGACTTAAGAATAAGTGGCATGCATAAACATTCTTAAGTGTTAAGACTTGGTCTCAGCTCCTAAATTATTTAAGAGAGCTGGAGAGGACCCCTAAGCCAGTTAGGAGTTGAATGATGGCAGCTGCACTACGCGCACCCAGACGGAGACCGCGCACTTTCCGTCAAAGAAAGAGCGTACTGCAGACGTACGACAATAATGAATTGATAAAAAGGTACAGGCTGATCATGAGGGCATCCTTTTTGTTACCAACCTAATTAGGAACCGGATACAATCTCTTACGTCATCTAAAAATGCACCTACAGTTGAACTGAAGGTGATAATGATGCTACGTTTTTGGCAACTGGAAAAATATAATAATAATAATAATTATTATCATCATCATCATCATCATCATCATCATCATCTATTATAGCGAGGGTCATAAGAGCAATATAAGTAATGACACAAACCTGTAGCTTGCATGCTTGCTTTATAAACTTTCGCGAGGTCAATAAAACATTATACCACCTTTTTCACATTCCTCTGCTGAACGCCTTGTCCGAGGTGACGCAGCATTTACGGAGCTTGCAATAGCCTCCTAAGCTTTTTTGTCCGTGCTCGTAACAGCTGGGCCAAACTTTCCTCGCACTACCTCCTTCCATTTAAGCACCAACTGTGCCAAAAGAACCGTTTTGTTTGTCGTCCAGTTTGGTTTTCTTTTATAATCCAATGTCTTGCAGTGAGTTTTGCGTTTGACCCATAATTTATACAACATGCGCATCTATTAGTGGAAATTGATTGGTGGTGTGCTAGGTAGATTTTCGTACAACCAATTAAAGGTATGATCACAGAAAGGTATATTGTATAAAGCTCTACATTAACGGTTTAATGTCACTAATATATTCACCGTGCAGCTCCTCTATTGGTTGAACTCAGTATTTGGGGCGGGATTTTATTTGTAGTCCTCATTTCACGACACTTAAATACTGGCTCCGTCAGCACTTAGGAATTGGGCTTAGACTTTGCTGAAAGTTACTTTTAGCATCTTTATGCAATGCTCTTAGGTCCTACTTTTGGCTAAGATTTTTTTTAACTCTTAAGTCCAAGTGTACAACCATTCTTATGACCATTCTTAGGAAGCTTTATGCATACCGGCCCTGGACTGTCTGTGGTTAGGGAGCAAAACCTAGACTGTCTGCAGGTCCCCGAGAACCCAGACTGGAAAACACTGCTGTAGACCACTTGCAAGTGCTAACTGAGATGTGTATCAAAAGTCCCCGAGATGGCAGTTTAATTTGTAGAAATACTGGAAATACTGGATGGTTGCGGCCTCGACAGCACCTGCTTCCACGGTAACGGTGACCCACCCACCAGTAGAGAGGTGGAGTTTCAGCCATAAAACTTTGCGTGTGGATGTCAGTGGCTCAGCAAAGGTGACCGCACGCAGGTTTGAGGTCAATAAGGGATCTGTAGGCCAAACGCAGTCCATCACTGTGAGAGATGCCGGTGAAGATCAGTGTTTTCATGCTGGTTTTAATGGCTCGGAGGAGATGGAAAAAATGGTGGAGGAAACCCCTCCCCCCCCCGGGGGAGACCTGAGATGGGAAGGGATGAATAATTGAGGGATGATCTGCAGGCGGGGAGAAGGGTCGGGTTCAATTTTGGCGGCTGCATCTGCGAGGCCCCACCGGGCCCTGGAATGAGCATAGGAGCCACTTTACAGCTTCCTGTGCAGCCCCACCCACGAGCCCGGTGCCAGTGCAGGGCGGCGGCCCAGTGGCTGCAGGGGCGGGGGCCCAGTGGCTGCAGGGGCGGGGGCCCAGCGACTCACCTCGTTCAAGCAGAGGGGGGGCTGGCTCAGTAACGTGGAGTGCTTCAACTGCCGGGACTGAGCGCTGCTCCTGAACACCCTGTTGTTGTCACTGTGGAGGAAGAGGGGTAGGGGGGCTGTCATGCCGATTAATGACCTGGGGAGGTCGAGGTCGGGCCCCCCGAGCAGCTGCAATCCTGGGATGGAGCCTGGCCCTGATAATTAAGGTCATCGCTGGGAGGGGAGTTATGTTTTTTAAGGAGGGAGGCTTCCTTACCCTTCAGGCTCTGGAAAGATGGGAGGGAGGGTGCGCCTCCTCCCCCCCGAGTGGCCACGCCCACTCTCGGAGACCAACGTGCAGATGCTCTCCTGATGCAAGTCCCGGTCCTGTAGGAGTTCGGGCCCCAAAACAGGTAGGGTGATCTTGGGCAGGGATCCCTCCTGAAGGAACAGGGTACCGGGGTGGGGTGTTATTAGGCTTGGGGGGGCTACAAGCCTATGTGTGCCTTCCACATACAGAACACGCCGGCTTGGAACCTTATGCGTGTGTCTCATACATATTCAGGAATGTGTTTGTACAGTGTGTCTATGGTTTGGGTGCCTGTGTGTCCACCTGGTTTATGTGGCACCAAAGCGGATGTGTGAATGCATGCACCTCCTCTGTCTGTCTGCACCTCCTCTGTCTGTCTGCACCTCCTCTGTCTGCACCTCCTCTGTCTGCACCTCCTCTGTCTGTATGTACCTCCTCTGTCTGTACCTGCAGTGTTTGTACCTCTGCTGTCTGCACCTCCTCTGTCTGTCTGCACCTCCTCTGTCTGTACCTGCAGTGTTTGTACCTCTGCTGTCTGCACCTCCTCTGTCTGTACCTGCAGTGTTTGTACCTCTGCTGTCTGTCTGCACCTCCTCTGTCTGTCTGCACCTCCTCTGTCTGTATGTGCATCCTCTGTCTGTACCTGCAGTGTTTGTACCTCTGCTGTCTGTCTGCACATCCTCTGTCTGTACCTGCAGTGTTTGTACCTCTGCTGTCTGTCTGCACATCCTCTGTCTGTCTACACCTCCTCTGTCTGTATGTGCCTCCTCTGTCTGTACCTACAATGTTTGTACCTCTGCTGTCTGTCTGCACCTCCACTGTCTATCTGTACCTCGACTGTCTGTACCTCCACTGTCTGTCTGTATCTCTGCTGTCTGTATGTACCTCCTCTCTCTGTATGTGCCTCCTCTGTCTGTACCTACAGTGTTTGTACCTCTGCTGTCTGTCTGCATCTCCACGGTCTGTCTGTACCTCCGTTGTCTGTCTGTACCTCAATTTTCTGTACCTCTGCTGTCTGTCTGTATAGTCTACACTGTACAAAGACTCCGTGTCAGAGCAGACCAGGTAAGTACAGCACTAGGGAGGCTGGTGAGCCAGGGTGGGACTGGACAAAAGCTGTTCACAGGATGCGCCAGTGAGGGGGGGTTTCAGTGCCCATGCAGTGACTGAAAACAGCATCACACTTTGAAACTGCAGTCAAGGACCACCAGGACCCTCTGAAGACTGCACTATATGGTCAAAAGTATGTGCACGCCCCCAAATGAATTAGAGGAATTGGCTAATTAACACACTGCTGACACAGTGTAGCCATGCAATTTCCTGCAACAAACATTAGCGAGTGGTTGTACGAAGAGGTCAGTGACTTTCCACTTGGCACCATCATAGGATGCCACCGTTCCAGCACGTGGTCGGCCAGACACGCTCACAGACACGGATACTTACTAGCACCCATTCCAGAAACTAAGCAGGTTTGAGCCTGGCCACTACTTGGATGGGAGACCACCTAGGAAAGTAGTGTTCCTGCTGGAAGAGGTGTGCGTGTGGCTAACTGGTTAACCAATCCTGTGATTGGTGATTTCCTTTGGATGAGACATAAAACCCAAGGTCCTAACCCTTTGAGGTCATATCTTTCGAAAGAGTAGCGGTGGTACCCTGATGCCCTGGCTAAAATTGCCCAATGTGGCCCTTTCAAATCTCACCTCCTAATCATCCCCTATATATAACTGGTGAATTCTCTCCTGCCTTCACCACCTTATCTAACTGTGCAGAATGGCTGCTGTTGCATTATCCAGGTGGGGGCTACACAGTGGTGGTTGAAGTGGCTCCCCATTGGTTCTGTAAAGTGCTTGGGGGTGTCTTAAAAACCACTATACAAATGCAACTTTCATTCATTAGTCCTCAATATCCAATCTGAATGGCAGCAAATCCCACCCACAACCCAGGGAATATTCCTAGAACTTTAGATTATTATAGAGAACATTATTTCAAGGTCTTAAAGTTGGCAGAGAACATTCTTATTGTAAAATTAATGGAACGTTATTTCCACATTTTACATTGTAACAAAGGTTCTGTCAATGTCAGCACGACAACATCCTTTTAATGCAATTAATGTTGAAAAATATTGTTTCATAATAAAATATTTTTTATTGAAAGTGCTATGTGTGTATGCATCAAAGACACCATCCAGCTTTGAACCCATGACCCGAGGAGTAAAGCCACAGTATTACTCATGGCTCTACTGTAACCTTCATTTGTTGCTACATTGTTATTTTTAATAGCAGTAGTAGTGGAATAACGTTATGGGAGCATCAGGAAAACTGGACACTTTGAACGTTTTCATACCTTAATCATAACATTTGGTAAATGTTCCTAGAAGAAAAAAACTGTTGGCAGGGAAGGTCCTCTAATGGAAGGCCGTCCCAGAAGGGGAGAGCCAATTACAGGAACAATGAGCCGACCACCTTCATATTAGTGCCCTTGGTTTCATATAGAGATGCAGGACTAGCTGAGGTCCTCATTCTTTTGCCTATATCGTGTAAAGGAAACAGCTTGTGAGATTTTGGGTTTGTGTGACAGAAATGACAGTCACACAGAAGCCATTCCAGTGATCCCCAGTGAGGCACCCTACTCAGCCATTCCAGTGATCCCCAGTGAGGCACCCTACTCAGCCATTCCAGTGATCCCCAGTGAGGCACCCTACTCAGCCATTCCAGTGATCCCCAGTGAGGCACCCTACTTAGCCATTCCAGTGATCCGCAGTGAGGCACCCTACTCAGCATCCTGTTCACCTCCAAACTGGCTGTCTTCAACTTGCACCATCCACACAATGTTAATGACGGCTCCTCCATTGTCGAATTTAATGACAACACAGATGAAAAGGTGAATCAGCTGTGGGTGAGATACTCCCATCGCTCCCGGGAGCCCGTGGGACCGTGCGAGTAGCTGGTGTGTGGCGTTTGATTAGCCTCAAAACTCGCGCACATAAAACCACACATGTGTATGCCCTCCCGAGCAGAAGACCCATCCTCTCTACACGCTCGCGCTCGCATCTGCACAGCACTCGATCGCTCGCCAGTTCGTTGATTGGTCACTTTGAATCCTATAATCGCCAGTCTTTGGAAGAAGAAGATTACTGACCAGTCGATGAGAGAACAACCAGTTTCGCGCTCTTTCGTGATGTCTGAGCAAGTCACTTTAGGGTTTCGTTACCACCTGCAATATTAAAATAGGATCTCTGAAAGATGTTAAGTTAGGGTTACACTTCTTGCTCCGACATCATAACAGAGCGTGAAACTGGTTGTTCTCTATGGACTGGTCAGTGATAGACCGGTCAAGGGGATGGGTTTTCTGTTTGCAAGCGCATAAGCTAGCATGGTGTTTATGTGCGGTGGTTCTGACACTAATTAAATGGCATAGATCCACTTAGAGAGCAGAACTAGATGGGCAGCATAAATATTCTGTACTACAGAGGGCAGGTCTGTGCTGCTGGAGGATCAACATCATGAAAAAGAAGGCAAGCCAACTCAATAAATTAATCAGGAGGGATGGCTCTGTTACCCACTGACAGGACACTCAATATCCTGCAACGGCCCCCCCTCACGCCTGGCTGGCACTGCTCATTTTATTCAGGTGCACTACATCCACCCCTTTATGCAGCTGTGTTTATTGTTCACATATACATTTTACTATGTATATAAAGCCTTGTGTTATGTACACTGCTCAAAAAAATTAAAGGGACACTTTGAAAACACATCAGATCTCAATGGGAAAAAAATCTTGCTGGATATCTATACTGATATGGACTGGGTGATGTGTTAGGAACGAAAGGATGCCACATTGTTTGATGGAAATGAAAATTATCAACCTGTAAAGGGCTGAATTCAAAGACACCCCGAAAATCAAAGTGGAAAAATGATGCGGCAGGTTAGTCCATTTTGCCGAAATTTCATTGCAGCAACTTAAAATCGTACTCAGTAGTTTGTATGCCCCCCACGTGCTTATATGCATGCCTGACAATGTCGGGGCATCCTCCTAATGAGACGCCGGATGGTGTCCTGGGGGATCTCCTCCCAGATCTGGACCAGGGCATCACTGAGCTCCTGGACAGTCTGAGGTGCAACCTGGCGGCGTGGGATGGACTGAAACATAATGTCCCAGAGGTGTTCTATTGGATTTAGGTCAGGTGAGCATAGGGGCAAGTCAATGGTATCAATTCCTTCATGCTCCAGGAACTGCCTGCATACTCTCGCCACAT